TCGATTGATCGATCTAATGCGTTTTGATTTTGTTGAAGCAATAGTGGGAGGAGTTGAAGAATATGAGGAACCTCATAACCAGAAGTCGTAGGAGTGCTGTGCTTCCCATAAAAAGAAAATTTCCAAAAGTTTTCAATGAAAATTGAATTTAAATAATTTTTAATAAGTTCAATCTGAAAATAGTTTTTACACAATTCAGGCGTAAAGTAAAAAAGTACGGAGTAGTACTCAATAAAAAACAATTAACTAACTAACAGTTTTAATGCAAATCAGCGAATGTTTGATCTTTGGAGCATTGTTCTTCTCTTTCTTTAAGCTTTATTTACAAAATCTAATTACTCAAAATGAGTTCCTAGCTTTGAATAAGGAGAATCGTTAAACATAATATTGGTAAAAATTAATGAAGAGAAAATATGTGTAGTTAATCATTATGCATTTTACTTCGAAAATAATTTTATTATAAATGCCGATGTGACAAGTTAAACCATAAAAATAAGCAGTAAACTTTTGAATTGGAAGAGCCTTTTATTCTTTTTAGCGCAATTTAAATCAAACAAATTTTAGCGGTGAATTACTGGTCAATGTGAAAATATTGGTGGTTAACTAATTCTTGTACTCCCTCAATCCCAAAAATAATGGTTAAATTGTTTTTTTATCAATGATTGTCAAGATTGAACAATTATATTTTTAATGCAAAATTATTTAAAATATGAAAATTATAAGGTTGTCCTCAATTCATCCATGAAAAAGCTTTATTTATACTTTTCACTCCTAAAAATGCTCCAACCCGGTGTATTGAAGGTGGCCAAGTGTATTGCCGCCCCACTCGGAGTGGGAATTAAAGGCTTATTGACAAGAGAGAAGCTAGTTGGAGCATTGACGTATGTAAGAAATATGACTGGTCCCATTCGAATTATAAACCCCAATTTTATTTAAAGAATTATAACTTTTTAATTTTTACTTCAATTTTTATAAATGATATATCAGAATTCATAATTTTTAATTAATTTTAATTAATTTTCTTTCATATGACATCAATATCACATATATGAATTAGAAAAATAACTTTTAAATGTTATTTAGACTCAAATTTTTAGACTCAAATTTTTTAAATTGATTAGACTCAATTTAGACTCGAATTTTTAGACTCAAATTTTTTCTTAAATATAATTTTTAAGAAAATTAAGATATATTTTAGAAAATTTTTCTTAATATAACTTTTAAGTACTAAGATTAAGATCTCATGAGTAAAATATTTTTTTACATCTTTCATTTTTTCCCCCAATTTTACTTTTTTTACATCGGAATGTTTGACTTTTAAATCATAATCAATTTTTGAAAAATTGGAAAATTTTGATGCATAATAATAAAAGTAAGGTTTTAATTAAAAAAAAGTTTTTTAAATAGATATATTGACGGTGTTGAATTGCAGTAAAAATTGAATTGACCGAATGAATACGTATAGATTGGTGGGAAACACATTTTATTGACGGAGATGGGTTGGGTTGCGGTTAGCCTATTGATCAATCTTTTTTGGACATGCATTTATCTCTCGGAAGGGCCAATACTATGCCATCCGAAAACTTCATGTTCGCGACAACTTAAGAACTATTTTTCATTTTTGTAAAATTATATGATTAATAGCGAACATGAACAACATAAAGGAATTTTTATGAAACACAATCCAATTTAAACTCCAGTACGCCATTTCGTTGACAAAAAAATGAAAAATAATTAGTTGAAAACTTTTATGATACTCAAATACCTTTATTCAAACAACTAAATAACTACTTTCAGAAAAAACTAAATAACTTTTGTAGCGTGTGTGGTGCCCATTACGAGCCGCGTCAAATGTGGTTACAATGTGGCCGTGACCATGCACAATAGTACACCAATTTATCACCGCACACTTTCTCAATATTGGGGCCTCAAGTCTTCCAAAATATCGGTTTCGTTCGACTTTTATTGATTTTGGTTTGTTTGGTTTGAAACAAGTTGGAAAACTATTGCCACACAAAATTACTATTTTCGGTTTGGTTCAGTTCGGTTTGGATTTTTTAATTTTTAATAATATAGAAATGTTTTGTTGAATTTCTTTAGTTCAGTTCAATTTTGTTCAGATTTCAGCTCAATTTGGTTTGATACGGTTTTGAAGAAATACTGTAAAACTCAAATCAATTGATTTGGTTTGGTACGACTCGGTTCGATTACAAAGGTACCCTTAATTACAAAGTTGGTCTTTGGGTACCGATCCAATTAACGTCCTAACTAAGAAGCACACTCGCATGATGAATTATTAAATTTAATTCTTTAAAAATATTTAGAGAATTTGATCATTCATAATGCAGGAGCACCGAGTACGTTGGCATTCTCAATATATTTTGTGTGCCAAAGACTGAAAGACATCTTCATCATTCCAAGTCAACTACTAATCTGCAGTGTTCCACATTTTTATTGTCATTTTCCATCACTTTACCATACCAAAGTAGCTTTTAGACTATTACTCTATTAGTAATTACATGAATATAACTATAGTCATTAAAATCGAAAAATTTCATTAATATTAGAGTTTTCATTTCAAAAAATATGACAACTTTTACAATTTCCAAAACTATGACTTATTTAAAACTCCCGTCGCCCCATCTCCCCCAGCGAAATCGTCTCCTTCGCTCCATCAAAACATCCAGCAGGCATCCCATCATCCAACAATTCCGATCCAGCAACGCAGCATCGAAACTCCACAGAATCAGTTGTCCCTGCAACGCCGCCATCTCCGCTAGGCCATCCAAACCTTCAGGCGTCGTGACCTTGTTCCAAACTGGAAGAAAAGATATGTTGACGAGAGTCGATGGTGGACCGATTCGTTTCGTTCCGCCAGTCCCTTGCTCTGCCGCCTGCTCTGGACCGTGCCGCCGCCGTCGTCTTCGACCTTTCACTCCTGTTATTAAAGCCCAACTGAAGCTAGATCTAGATCTAAATCTCCTACATCGTTTTGTTCGCGCCTAAATCTAGGGTTGGCGGCTGGAGGCGGTGGTTGTTTGGGATTGTATGAGCGGCGATCAATGGGTGTCGATTCAGTGCAGCTGCTTCACCATTGTTGGTGTATGGTAGCAGGCTTAGGGGACTTGGTGGCAGGCTTAGGCAAGTTGGGGGCATGGGAGGTGGTTAGATCTGGGCAGGGCTGGGCTAGTGGGAGCTCAAACTGTCGAGGGGGGCTGGGTAGGGACAGGGTTGGGCGGGTGGCGACAACGGCGATGGTCACTGTGGCAGGTTCGTAGGTGGTCACTTTTGCCGGTTGGCAGGCAGTCACCGCGGACCAGTGGGGCAGTCGCTGTGGCCGGTGAGCAGTCACTGTGGCGGTGGGGCAGTCATTGTGGCGGTGGGGCAGTCACTGTGGCGGTGGGGCAGTCACTGTGACAGTGGGGTAGTCAGTATAAACGGTGGGGTAGTCACTGTCACCGGCGGGGCGAGTCACTTTGGCCGGAGTTCATTTGGCCGGAGTCACTTTGGTCGGAGTCACTTTGACCAAAGTCACTTTGACTTGCAGGGTTAGGGGTGATGTTAGTCACATTTTTAGAATTTCTAAAACCAGGTCACATTTTTATCTTTTTCATTCATTTTAGTAATATTAGATTAAAAAGGCCCATCTTCATCATTCCAAGTCAACTACTAATCTGCAGTGTTCCACATTTTTATTGTCATTTTCCATCACTTTACCATACCAAAGTAGCTTTTAGACTATTACTCTATTAGTAATTACATGAATATAACTATAGTCATTAAAATCGAAAAAATTCATTAATAGTTATTTCATACTCCGTAATATATTTGTCAATGCCTTTTTTTAATGGTAACGTTTAAGGATATTCCTTAAAAATTACTGAGTCACATTTTCATTTTTATTCTTAATATTTTAGAGAAAAACTCTAATAAAATCGGTAACTATTTTTAGTACTCTTAGACTTATTAATGTACGAAGTATTATTTAAACAATTTTTGTGACAGAAACAAGAGTATTGGCTGGCAAAAAATGTTATTGTCCCCTTCCTATCAAACATCCTGGAGAAAGCAAGGCGCCAACCGGACGATTCAACCGACGCCCAACTGATTCAGAGAGGTATCAGATTCCGGAACGACGACGAGATTCCATGGCTGGAAAACAAAGCAAATGAGAATCCCCATCTTTCCTTGACCACCGGCGTTGACCCTGTGCAACCCACTAAAGATCTCTCTACATTACTGGAGAGCCTCATAAGCGCAGCGGAAGAGAACAATTACAGTGTGGAAATGGCGATTCTCTGGGCCTTGGAAAGTGTTTACCACGACAGCTTTGCGAACTGTTTGGGAGATGAAAATTCTCATACCCCAGAGAACATGAAAGAGGTTTGTAGGAAATGGGGAAACGATGCTTTTGGAGACTACTGCGTTTCTCTTCAAAGCGCAGCCGATCGAGCGTTGGAGAAAGCTTCCCCTGATGCTATTGCGAAAGCTGAGGTTACTCTGTTGCAGTTTCTTGAGATTGTGGTTGAGTTTTGGAATGTGAACATGAAAACTATGCAACCAAACGCGGCCTAGATGGATTAGAACCAAGCTAATCAAGTATTGTGTTTTGTATTATACTTTGTAGAATTGTACATAATAAATAAGTGTTTGTCCAACAAGGGTTGTGGTTAAAAGTAGGCTTGACATTTTGAATCGAAAAATGAAAGTGCAATTTGAAAACTGAAAGTCTTCAAACTGAAACCAAATTAACATGAATGAGAACCAAAATTCGGGACCTGAATATTAATCAAAACAATCCGTTCAAATCTAATCAAACCAATTTTTTTATCAAGTGCTACAAGATGAAAATAATATACCTTTGTTGAGGAAAAATTAACATTCCTATTTTGGAGTTCCATAATGTTTTTACACCAAGAATTTACAATAGAAAGAACGAAGAATTTTTTTTTTATGTTTCATATATTCTTTCGCTTTTTTAACAAAAATAAGCTTCAAGAGAACACATATCAAATGTACATCATATAAACTGCTGGTGTTAGAGCATCAGTAATCCTGAAAAAGGCTTCACTTTAGTAGTATGAATGAAATACAAACTGCTTCTTAAACTGCTTCTTATTAGTACATGGAAGTTTGCATTTCACTTCAAAGTTCAAACAGCCATATATGAGTACACAATTTGTACATATCCTATTTACTTAGCAGTCTGTGTTCTTCTACTTGTCAAGGTGCAGACTTCTACTCGGGCATTATTTATCTGGATTAGAACCTTTATTCCTTTTATTCACACTTTTATCTTTATTATACTTGACCATCCTACTTGCCGTGAAGTGCAGTCTGGCGATAAGAGGACGAGATGCTCGAGTTTTTCGATCAAACCCCCTCACACATACAAATCCTGCAATATGCGTTGAGAATTTATAAAATGAAAATGACAGATAAACCAAAAGGGGTAGCTTGCTATAGCAATTGAGGTTCCCTAGGAGCTATTACTGGGCACTCAGATTAATATAAATATATTTACTTTCCATTCTGATATTCTCTTATGCAATTCGTTCCTTTTGTGTGTGGGGTGGGCATATGTAACTTTACTATTTGATTATACAGTTGGTTCGTCCAAGGCTATGTTTGGAACTTGGAACTAGCAAAGATCATTTGATGTGACCTTATAAACTAGTCAAAATACCAAATAAAACCAAATTTGATTAATTATTCAATCACTTCCACATACACATGATTTATAATTTATATAATCGACATATGCAAATAAAAAGAGTTTCGACAAATGTCAAAAATTGATTTATTGAAATTGAACCTTTTATTTATTCCCCTAAGTTTTCTTTCCTTCTAAATTTCTTCTATATGACCCTCCCTTTTTTCTCAGCATTTCACTGAGTTCTAAAAGGCCTAATTAATCTACGGTTTTCTTCAGTATTCAGAGAGTTTCTGTAAAAATCCTTGTGTCATGATTGTTTATTTGTTTCCTAAATTATTTATGTTCTAAATGAAATAAGTTGGCCGTACCTCTCCAAAAGCAATGTTGAATTTGATCTGTGGACAGGCCTAATAAACACGCAAAAACCAGTAGCTTTAGCTTGATTCTCAATCTATCATAAAGAATCATTACAGTAAAATAAGAACTTTCTCTTAGCATACCTTTAAATATCGTTGTGACTGTGGTCCCAAAATACACCGTCCTTCTTGGGAGGTACCATATTAATCGTCTTGGAACATCAATAGGACTAAGACTAGATTCATGATCAGCAAATAACTGCATAATCATATCAAAGAACAGTTGTAATGATTATCTGCTTTTTGCTGGTATAAGCATTTCTAACCCCAACTACCCCCCCCCCCCCATTCAGGTCTTTGTTGCCTTGTATTCTTAGAACCTTATTTCCTTGTGTGGTGGGTAATATGAGGACGAATTCCCAACTTAGGATACTATAACAGGCCCCATCACTTTGAAACGAGTTGGATTTACCGAACTAACCAAGTGAATTGGATTTACCTCATTGACTTGAAAATATGTTCCGTTCAACGGAAAGCTGCCCTTCATTGCTGTTCGGCATGGTATCTATAACAATAATGTAGGTGATTTAATACAAATTAGAGATTCATGCACACGGGTTTCTTTCGTAAGAACATTTTGTAACGTCTGATTATGATATGATGTTTAGGTTTCTCACCAAGAGTGTGCCTCTGACTGTTTGTGAATCATTCTCTTTAACAATGTTGCATGAGTAGCATGTGCTTTCTTTGCACAGTGTGCCTGATCCTTGCGAATCACATACCGTTTGAGGAGACTGAATTGAATTTGCAGTTTCACCTGACCATTCAAATGTGTCCATTTGGGGCACACAATAAGATAATGTCAGCTAGAAGGAAAGAACAAATAAGACACAGAAAGAAAACACAAGGTTAACTAAATTTTGGACATAATATCAAAACTTCCCTCCATTCTCAAATAACCGTCCAATAATAGATAAAATTGTGGTTTTTAAGGTGAAAATCAAAATTTTCACTAATTCAAAGGCATATCACAATTAACTTCTAGATATTTAAAAAGACAAGCATAAGTGAAGTAATAATGGAGCGTAAGTCATTTTAATTTTTTACTTTGGTTTGCTGAATGGACAATTTTTTGGGAACAAAATGCACTTAGTTAAGATACAACTATTTGAGAATGGTGGGATTAGAATTGCGTAAAAAAATGTGCTTGATTACCTGGTGCCCATATAGCTAGAAGGTATGGGCTTGGATCATCAGGTTCACGCCTATCCATCTTAAAGTAAGAGATTGTAGGGTCAGTATTCAATTTAACTCAAAGAATTCCACATTTGGTCCAAAGTTACTAGGTCATTCTCACTTTATTTCCCCTGCTTTCATATTTTCTACCTTTGGTGCACGACTACGGATTTCTTGTCACTTTTGGTCCTTCTGGTCACTTTCCGGTGTAATTTCTGGTTTATTTTTGCCCGATATGTGACACGAAAGGATCAAAAGTGACAAGAAATCCATAGCCGTGTAACCAAAGTGGAAATAATGAAGGGCCGGACCAAAAGTGGAAATAATGCAGGGCCAGACCGAAAGTCTTCTATTTAACTTCAAGCAAAGAGAAGATTCATGTCTCACCCTTTCAAGCAGTGGATGTGAATCTGGAAGTTCATACCTGCAAAACAATGAAATAGCCACTCTATAACTTCACTGTCATAATCATTTATACCACGTACAAAACAATAATTTCTAGTCTAACATTCTTGTACAATTTTTCAATGATTTCAGATTTTTAGGCCGTGCTTTAAAAAAAAAAATAGTTCCAAAACCATTAGTATTTGATTAATTTTTCAGAAATTCGCCTAGCAAGACCTAAACACAAATTCAAAACTTAAGTACTATTACGACATTTGTACATCACCAAAATTTAAAACAAGTACATTACACAAACATTACTTTGGGGGAGGGGCAAAGGTAGTATTTTTTTCATCTGAAAGTGAAGTCATTTTTTGTTTGGAAACTACACCAAAATTTAGAAACTTACACTTGATGTTCTGTTCGCAGGCGGCTAACATTTTTCAGTTTTGGAGTAGGTATGAAAGCCACTTCTGGATTAACAGAAACTAAAGCTTTGGAAATATCAGATTCCTCCATTCCCTTCTTTTCTTGCAAGATATTCTGCAGATTTGTTGTGAATTCTTCGATGTTGAGTTTGATTGTGGGGATCTCATCATCACCATCATTATAAAACGCAGCATCTTCAATGTCACATTCAGAAATTTCTGGAAATGGTTCTGGAGTTGCTGGTTCTTCGATAATGGGTTCACAGTTGTCAGTAATGGACCCCACTGCAGCTTCTCTATTTAAGTTTGTTATAACCTCTGGCCTTCCACAAAGAAGTGACGGATTGGGGTTGAATAATGCTGAGTGGTTTGCATTAGCTGAGATAGGTGCAGTTGAACTCATCATACTTGTTTCTTTTGGCCCTGGTAAGGCAAGCCTTGCACTGTGGGAAAACATAATTAAGAGATTAAGAGATGACAGCTTAAAACCTATCAACTGTTCCAGATCATTCATATGTGAGTGTTTCGCTTCTTATATCATCTTATGTGGGCAGCTGGGATGGAGGATTTTGGAGGGAGAGGTTTACAGGGCTTAGTCTTAATCTTAAATATTTTCCTATGTGTTTTGTATTAAATATTGACGCACAAAACAGAAAAACTAATTGATGCCCATATATTTACTATTACTAATTGTACAGATAAAAAAGACTACAGAAATGGGAAAATATACTGCGCGCTCTTAACATATACATGATCGGATGGAAAGTACTACATATGTGTATATGTGTATATATGTATAATTTTTTGAGTTCAAAAAAGACAAGACCTAGAGGAAACGATAAGCTTTATGTTTTAATGTAGATATTGCATGAGCAATTATTTGAATATCTGACCTTGCAAAAGCACTAGCAAAGTGTCTACATTCTGCTCTCATTGGGCACGCATTACAGTTGGGTTTACGCTTTGTGCAGAAAACCTGAAAATTAGGAAAGAAGCACCCAATATGGACAAGTTGTGCATAATAATTCAAATAAAGACACAACTGAAATTACTCTTGCAGCATGCAACACATTTTACCTTTCCGAATGTAATCATCTGGTAATGCAACTCATACCTGCAGTCAGAAAATCCTCATTTTAGTGACATGAATAGTACATACATTAAAGAAAGAGATTTACCACTCTAAGTCCTCTCCCACTATTGTGGCAATGACACTTCTGTACCCGTATTTAAAGTTTTTCACTTTTCACTTCAGTCATATGATTAATTAATTATTCGAGAGTGACTCTTTTGGTCTTCTAACTTTCGTTATTGTGACACTTTGGTCCTTCAACTATTGTGGCAAACTTGAAAGACGAGTCCCTAAAGTTTCACCGTCACAATAGTTAAAAGACTAAGAGGTGAAAAAAATCAAAGACGGTTAGACAGGCACCAAAAGTGTAGCTCTCGAGTATTCAGAGGACAATAATCGGAGGACTAAATGTAGAAAAAACTAGTTAAGTAAGTTTCCAGGCCATTTCTAGTGGAAAAATAAATATTTTTAAGGAAATAAGGATTTGGAGCTTTGGATGATATATTACAATGTTTTCTGATCCAGCTTGCAAAGTCTAGGCCATAGATACTTTTGAATTGACTCCAATACTGGATACCTGTATTGAAACATTGGTAACACCCAGCATATATTAACTACTTACTTAGGAATTGATGATGGTTTCACATGTATTTACTACTTACAGCTCAAGGAGATGCAGTTGGAGTGACTCAGGAAGAGGTTTGAGAGGCACCCAACCCAACCGCACAGCAATGCGTCCAACGTTTGTATCAACCTAGCAAACTGAACATTCAGTGCAAGACTGGATGCGAAGTTGTTGATGTAATAATCAAATTACTAGTAATTATTGTTTTATGACGTTGGCCATAGTTAGGCTAAACAAGGAAGTTGTATTTTCATTCCAAAGCTATGATTTCTCGCCATTGGCTGCATTTTGTTGGAAGATAGCATTAGAAGTCCCTGTGTCATTTGCTAGTGTTTAAATTTGTTACCGTTTGCTGCATTTTTTGGAGTTATAGGTTCAATTTTCTACTAAACTGTTGCTCTACTAGAAGCCATTCTAACCATTAGCCCTTGTTTGCTATGAGAAATTTTGAGGGAAGCAGAGTTAAGTTGTGTGTTTGGTTCGGGGAGTCAAGGGAGAAGGGGAGGAATGGCTAGATTCCTCCTTACTTCTCATATCTCGGTCGCCATACATAATATCTTATAAATTCTTCAACCTCACGCTCTTATGGACCAAACAAAGGAATATAGTAAACCAAGGAATACAGTTTTTTTAACCATGACCCTTCGCACTAGATTGTTTAACAAGTGATCTTGAGTAGAAAATGGAACGCACTGGGAATGCAAGATGATGTAGAGTCAATAGTCGCACACACTCCACACTTTTGAGACCTAGTCCCCTTATACTTAATAGGTATTCCCTGCAATACATAAAAGGTTTAAATTTTTTATAAGAAATGGCAGGAGAAGAAATAGTAATATTTTTTAAAATTATTACTATGCTCACTTTGCCTTGTCTGGTTCTATATGCCTTAACCATTCTAGGTCAGTACTTCCATGATCTCTTACCAGCCGGTTGAGGAAGTCCTGCACATTATATTGACAAAGTAACTTCCCTAGTTGTATTCTTTGTTATCAGGTGCAGGTCATTTACCCTGATTAAAAAATACTGTAGGATCAGTTCTGAAAAATGGTTTCGGAGGGGAAGGATAAGTCTATATACCTTGATAAATATATTCTTTCTAAAAACAAACAAAGAGTGATTGTAATGTTCTATGATCACCTATTATGTTGTTTCTTCAATTCCTACATAAATATGCATCGGGAATAGAAGATTCAACCCTCCGAAACCCTCATCCAAACGGACCCTTAGTGATTTCTCATGTATACCTTGATTCGATCTGCAAGTCTGTTGTTCATTCCTCTTTCCTTGATAACATCAGCTATCTCGTTGACCTCTGCTCGTCTGAGCGCTTCATAATCCAACGAGTCCATTGTGTACTTGTTTCTTTCTATTCTTTCGCTCTTATATTTCACATCCCTCCTCAAGCTATCCCAGTCAAACATCTTCGTTTCTCCTTCACTCTTTTTCTTCATTGTATTTGATACATTATTGGCCTTCTTGGTAGTCTGTTTGTCAGGGCGTATTTTCCCCTCTGCAATGATTATCTTTTGTTTAGCAATGGGAATTTCCAACAAATAAGATTAACCCAAATAATTGGGATATAATGATGTTTCCATGCATTACCTGATTGTTGTTCAGAAATGGCTTTGACAGTGACTGAGGAACCATTCGAAGAGTAGTCCAGTTGACCACTAGGGGGGAAATGGTAAATGCTTCCTGTCGGATAATGTGGCTGTAGATTCTCTAGGTGATCTGCTTTCCTTTTCAGAAATGCATCCTGGGGTATACCTGGTACTGTACATTCCAGACCCGAACAGTTTTGTGCAGTTTTTGCATAATCAGAGGTTGTTTCTTTTGTTTCCAAGAATTGTTTTGTTACTAACCAAGAACTCCTTGAAGTGACAAATGAACTTTCTATGCAAGTTCCCATTGTAAAACTTTCTTGGCTACTAACTTGATTTTGTAATTGCTGATTGCCACTTAATAATTGATCTTCAGTATATGACTTGGAACCTGAGCTTGATTTGATTTCTTGAAGAAAGGAAGAGAGGGAATAGTTCTGCAATAAATTGAATTCATCCTCCATTCTTTTATTCTTCTCGTTTGACAATTGCTTTAGTGTGCTCTTCTGATAAGTAATAGTGCCATCTGGATCTATTACTTGAACTTCTGTTTCCTTAATCTCAGCAATTACTCCATTTTGTTCATATTCTCTCTTGTTAATCACCGACTGCTGGGGAAACTTGGCAGCAAGAGACATGAAAGCAGAGCTGCATAGAAAAGGAAATACATATAGCAGATTAAAAAATCAATCATATGAAACCGATGCTGCCACTGACAATCTAGTTATTTTTGTCTAGAAGTTTTATTTTTGTAATATTATAGGAAAACCCTCTATTCATATTTCATTTTTCTTTTCCTTTATTGAGGTAAAAAAAACAGACACATAAAAAAAACTTTACTTGTCATTTTTTCCTTTCCATATTTTTTCCTGAGCTCCAAGCATACCCCTAGGATCCCTTTTGAACTTGGAAAATGCTAGTGAATGAAAATCGGGAGGAAATTATCGAAGATATTTGGAAGGAAAGAAAATGTTGAGTAAAAAAGGCATTATTGGTTTACGAAATATGTTTGTAATTTGTTCAAATTCATTTTTTTTTATTTTTCTATCGTAAAAGCAATAAGAAGTGTAAACATATGTAACTTATAAAAACGTCATTTATACTACCCGTCCCACTTTGAGTTCCCATTACAAAATGACACGCTTTTTAGGGAATAATTAAACAAGGTAATTTGAGTCTTGTTTGAGATGTAGTTTGATTAATAACTCGTCATTTAAGAGAGCTAATTATCTTCTAAAAATGGAAATGAGAACTTTTATGTGGGACATCCAAAAAAGTCAAGTGAGAACCTTTACATGCGATGGAGGGAATTTAATTTTCTTTTGAACTTTCCGAGGTAAAGCCACTTCGATAATGACTTTCCTTAAACATTTTCTTTCCCTTCCCTAGTACTTTCTGGCATCCACACATAGACTAAGAGTCTTTGGAATTACCTTGAAAGATGGTCTGACACATTTTGTGTGAGGAACACTCCTATTACTGAGTCTACTACAGACCCCTTCCAACGTGAGAATCGTCGGTCTCCTGCATGGAGGTCAAACGTGTATCTTTTAATACCTCCATCCAAAAAAATCATGTTTCACCATGGTAAAACTTCTTTATAGAAAATCATAAATTCTAGTTATATATAATCTTTTTTTTGTTTAACCGGGTTTAACATACTTAACTTGTTTAGGAGGCTCTTTTGAAGAAAAAGCATTAAATACTCCGTATAATGAAAATTGTCTTCTTCATTTTCAAATCGTACCACGTTTGGGACAAAAATAAGTTTTAATACTATGTATTACTACCTCCGTCCCAAAATAAATGTCTTGTTTGCTTTTGCACAAGTTTTAAGAAAGTGGTTGAAAAGGTAAAAGTTGTGGTTGAAATTTGAGTAGAAAAAGGTGAATTAATATGAGCCACATATTATTGCCAAAAGAGGAAACATGACAATTATTTTGGGACAGACCGAAAAGGAAAGTAGGACATTTATTTCGGGACAGAGGGAGTACTTTTTTGGGGGGACAGAGGGACTATATGTTAATTTAATGTTTGGCATGAGGAAATTAGTTGTATTAATTTCTAGTACGTCTGTAGTGGGATGAGATCTTCATTTTCTAAACTGTATTCCAACCGTTAGGAGTTACTCCCTCCGTCCCGCTAAGATTGTCCCATTTTACCTTTTCTGTCCGTCCCACTAAGATTGTCTCATACAAAATTTGGTAAAGTTTTTGTGGCTCTAAAGCATTCTTACTTTATTCTTACTTTATCAATTCAATACCAAACACATACAACACTTATTATTGGTTTGCATTTCACTCCCTCTTGTCACATTGTTAGTGGGACGGAGGGAGTATTAAATACACTTGACGTCTTGACGATAATACGATCGTCAGAATACCTGATACATACACTTTTCAGAATAGAAAAAATTCCGTCTTCTAAAGTTAACCTTCTTCAGGTATAGGAAACCTGAATTTTCTTCTCTAATTTTGAATTCAGGCAGGTAATAATGAGAAGCTTCTTAGTACATTGGGTTTATACGCTGACCTTGAACAAGATGCATTCTTGCAATAAGTGAGTCAGCCCGTCCTCGGAACACTTCCTGTTCTTCTTCCCACCATTTCTCCTTGTCCTTATCAACAGTTTCTTCACTTTCACTTCCTTCTTTACCTCCCATCAAGAGGTCCCAAAGTCTACAAGTCTCTGGATCAAGGTCCACCTTTGGTCGTGGTTTTCGGCTTTTGGAAAGATCAAATGCTTCAAATGGCACAAGTGCACCATCTCCTATATATGGGACAAGTGCACCTTGTTGCTTTCCTATATCCAAGTTGCTATTCCTCTTGTCACTGATAACTAGGCATTTTAATCGGAATGCGAGAATATCAATGGATACTGTATTGTCCTGCCCTCTCTGTGCACCTACACCAATATTTCTATGGTTATTTAAAAGTCTCTTAACACAAATACAGAGGGACTGTCTAGATCCTGGAAAATGATAGGGAAAGGGAAAATGTTTTATAGTGTTTGGATTTACCTTGGAAAACGCAAAATACATAATTAATTTTAAAAAGATAGATATACTAGTATATATATAATAGAAAGTATAAATGAAATGAGTTTGAACGAACATAAAAAATACATCTATTGAGTTTCAACCAACGTTTTATCAACCCCGGCATTGTTTTTCCTTTCAAACATACCCTATATTTTTATTCATATCTTCTTTCCCTGGCACTTTTGAGTTTAAAACACACATTTAGGGTGTTTTGGGGTAATGGAAAATGGTAGGGAAAGCAAACAAAGTGTTACGAAAAATTATTTTCTTATGCTTTGTTTTACCTTGGACAATGCAAGGAAGATGAAATATAATTTGGTTTCTCAAAACATTACAAATATTTAGATTTCTTACTCGTTATGTAATAGACAAAGAATAAAAAGAGTATGAACAAACATCTATATGATAAATTCACTTATTTTAGTTAGCTATGTTTTCAAATTAGAAGGTTGATATTCACCTTGTACATTATTCTTCTCTTTTGGAATCCGTTTCCTACTCAACCTGGATTCTTGAATATTTGATTGGGTCCATCTGACTTTCCTTCTTTTTACAGAAGCTTTAGTGCGTGAAGTTCTTTGTTCTTTTCCTTGTTCATGCTCAAAATCGGACAGTGTTGCAGAATTAGTATTCCAGTAGTTTATGTCTGCATCTTGAGCTTTCTGGCAATCAGTTTTGGTAAGTTTATGGGATGCGTTTTCAGCCTCTACTCCTGCATTTGGACAGGCCGGTTCCTCAAACTTCTTTTTCTTGTGAGTTGCTGAACATATCTCCAATATGTCACCTTCAAGGTTAGTACCTTCCGCGTGAGACATCTTAAAGGTGTGAAGGTCTCTCTTTAATCCTCGATTTACCATTGTTTTGTCCATGTCTGTCATCATTTGAACATTGTTTCCTTCACTTGTATTTGTTTGGATACTGTTTTTGTTATACTGTTCATGTGCCTGTCGCACGGCCCGCCCGGATCCCTTTTGTTCATTAATTGCTACATTTTGTAAGTCAAAGTTCAGAACTCTCTTGCATGACTTTACTACTTGGTCTGCATTTGAAGTCGTGAACTCAGAAGAAGGGGTCTTTTTGCGCGTGTATTTCCTTTTACCTGATGAAGTGTTCTCCTTGAGAGTATTGTTTTTGGGACTAGAAGAAGACTTTGGGGCCTTCTTGGGAGTAGAAGAAGACCTTCGGGTCTGTTTGGGAGTAGAAGAAGACTTTGGAGTTCGTTTGGGTTTTGCTTCCGTCACCACCTTTGGCCTGTGTTTGCGCCGTCTGGTAGGATTTTTCTGTTCAGGGGTCGTGTTCAGATCAATTTCAGTTTCTTTCAGCAATGGTGATATCACTGCAGATTGGTTATCTGTATGGAATGAAGATGAGGTTTTATCTGCTGAAAAGATATCTATTTCAGAGTGATGGAAACTTTCCAACTGATCTGCCTTATCCGGAGTGATAGGAGCGAATTGGAACAAAATCGCTGTGCTTGAGGGTGCAATGGTCTTTGATGCACATGAATTCAAGTCACAGTTTTCGGGATATGGAGAGTAAAAACCATCTGTGAGGAAAAACATTAACAAAAAATATATATATATGATTAAAATACAGAGAAAATTCCTTAAATAGAACTAAAACAAAAGCAAAATGCACAAATAGGACCAACATTGTTTTCTTCCTAAAACAGGATTCATAACTCCTAATTGGAGAAGTTTTATACTTTTAATAGGTTCATATAAGTCCTGTTTTGGGAATAAAACATAAATACTTCTATTTGTGTACTTTGTCTATGTTTTAGTCCTTATTTGGAGTAATAATATCTTTAAACTAAAACATAATGGACAAGAATTAAACTTTTGATTTACAGTGACCATAGTGGTACTTCTACATGTAATGATCTCGCTAATGTTCAATTTTACCCTGCAATGACTATGATTGTATTTCCATGGCCTCACCAACGTTTAATTTTACACTGGATTGACTAAGCTTGCACCTATAAAGGTCAAGAAAGATGTTTGTCCAGCACTTATTTAGCCGATGCGGAATAACTTCAACATCACATTCTAACCGTTTGAAACAGATTTTAGTTTTATCTAATGTTTCCCACATGACTACTTTGTCCCTTTTTCAAAATTAGATTATTACTGAATGACTGAATTTCGATATTTTTCCTTTTGAAAAAACTTACACATCTCTACAACAACTACAACATCTGAGCCTTAGAATTTGTAAGAGTACTTGTGTAGTTGCTGAATGATTTCATAAAAGTATCTACTATAAGATCAAGAATAGTTTTATTTGTCATTACCCTGGAATAAATTATTACATCGCCCCAACTTGACCGGTACAGAATACGAGGGTTGGCTTAAGTTAAAGTTAGCTCTTTCCTAATGTTATTTGAATTAATATTAATAGACAAAACTTACCTGCTTAGAAGTACACTAAATGCTCTATCCAATTGTTAAAAAAAATAGAATAAGATAACAATTGATACATAAAATTAGAGATTAAAAAAGTTGACTTTACTGCAGATTAGTATGCCACCTTCGAATTGGGATGGAGGGAGTAATAAGACTAGTTAGGTGTGCAATAATCATTTAAACCACGTGTTAAAGATGCATTTGAAAATTCAAGACTCTAGCAACATCATTGGATGCATCATTTGATGAGGGCATGTTTTGTATTGTTTTTCTTTTCGGTTTTCTGCTTCTTATAACTAAAAACAATGGGCCGTAGCTGATAAATTTCTTTTTGATCCATCAGCTTAAAGTTCAGACAACAAAAACTGTAAGACATTCACCAAATTTCACAGAACCGTACCTGAACACAACCCGGTATTTTCTCTTGGAAGAGCCGGAGATAATAAGGAGTCCCCACAGGCGTAAGATCCGGGAATGTCATGCTTGCCCCTCGTAGGGATGCTCTTTTCTGGTGTTGCATTGGTAGAACAAATGGCTGGAGTATTATTAATCCTCCTTTCCATCACATTTTTTAGAGAACAACAATCACTAGAAACAGGATTTTGTAGAACACCGTCATCATTGCTTTTTGTTTCCAGTAGAAACTCCTCATAGATCCCAACTAGTTCCTTCCAATTTCCCATCCCTTCCACTTTAACTAGACTGCTTCTTGGTGAAACCGAATTTTTTGGTGTTAATAGAATACATGGATCCTCATTTTCTTTGGGGATTGAAAGTAAACTCCCAGATAAAGTTTTCATTATCTTCTCTTCTGTTTTCTCCATCAATCAATCTCTCTTCTCTATTTTCCCTAATCCCATGGATAAAGTTTCAGCAAAGCACATAAGATATGTGCACTAGTTTAAGAAATAAGGGAAAATCTCATATTAAAAAAATGCAGTAAACACAGCAGGTCAGCAATTATTTTTTACTCTCTGTGAAATTGAAAAAGGAGAAGAAAAAACATAAAGAATCTCCGAAAATTAATCCTATTTCTCAATCCATGCGAAACCCAAAAGCTATATACGTAGTATATAGGAAACTAGCAATTGCACATAACAACATTTCCAAATAAGAGCCAACCGATAAAAGCAGCAAATCAGTTCAAGGAAAAAAAAAAAAGAAATTCGGGAAGTGGAATTTGGCTAAATAATAATAAATTGGAGAGTTCAATTCCGAAAATTAAATGAGCAAAAATTAAAACCCGCACCGGTGAAGAAGACCCACCACAACTGCATGCACAACCTTCCATCTGATTTTGCAATTCCCCTTTTTATTAAAAGAAAACGAAACGGAAGAAAAGATGAGAATTTGGTTCTAAAAAGCCGCACTGGTCTCTAGGTGACCGGAAGTGAGCTAGCTGCTTGAGAAGAGGAGTCAATCGCTGAAAAGAAGAGAGCCATTTGAATTAATAACAGACCCAGCCACCTTAATCTTAACATATTTCTAGAACTTATGTCGGTTCCGTTATGCATTTTCACTTTGATCAAAACGATTATTGGAGTGTTTGGATTTGCTTCCAGAACAGTTTATGCTCCTTTACAGAAATAAGTTGAGTTCCTATACTATATATCCGGTTGTAAGCAGTTCGTATACCATGCAACCGTCCAGGATGTTATACCTGGGAGAGCGAAGAAGCAGTTTGTATATTTTGGCTTTGTTATTTTTTATTTCTCCTTTTTTAAAAAATGTTAATAATTTTTTTTATTTTTGATCCGATTTTTATAAAATTTATATCAAAATTTTTTATTTTTCATGATCTTTCAAATGAGACTAATATTGTCTATGTAATTTTAACATATTAACATTTGCATGTAAAAATATGTAACTTTACGTGTTAAAATATGTAACTCACGTTCTGTCAGGCCAAATGCAACTCGTGTGTATAAATATGTAACTCTACGTGTAAAAATATGTAACTTTACGTAAAAAATATGTAACTCGCGTTGAGACAGGTCAAATGCAACTCGTGTGTATAAATATGTAATTTCACGTGTAAAAATATGTAACTTTACGTGTAAATATATGTAACTCGCGTTCAGGCAGGTCAAATGCAACTCATGTGTATATATATGTAACTCGCGTGTAGAAATATGTAACTTTACGTGTAAAAATATGTAACTCACATGTATAAATACATAATACAATAAATTTTTTATATACACAATTTTAAGATAAATTGTGGATTACACAATTATTTTTCTGTATTAAATTTAGTTCGATTTTCCTTATAATCCAATACTCATTAATATAATAGTTCGATAATTTCTTAAAATTACATAAGCAATATTGGTCTCATTTGAAAGATCATGAAAAATAAAAAATGTTGATATAAATTTTATAAAAATCGGATCAAAAATAAAAAAGTTATTACCATTTTTTAACAACAAAAGCACTAAAAAATAAAGAAACCAGGCACAATACTCCGTCGTTTTGCAACCCGGCGCACCATCCTCATGGTGCGCCGGTTGCACGATATAATTTGCGGTTGTAAGGGTGGGAATCACACAAGTAAGCAGGGATGGAGCCAGCAATTCATTCGAGTGGGGTCAAATTAATTTTGGAAAGTATATCTCTGCGACTCTATATATATAATTAAAAAAATATTTGAGTGGTGTCAATTAACTTTGTTTTGTTTATATATACGTGATGTCAAATTAATTTTTAAATAATATACATGTGCATATATAATAACAAAAAAAATTGAGTGGTGTCAATAGACACCACTCTTATTATATGTAGTGTTGTCCTTGCAAGTAGTTATTTTTGTGATTTTGTTTAATTTTCAGTTTAATATTCTCTTCTCATCAACCTTTTTTTCAAGAGAAAAGGGTCAAATAAGTCCCCCTACTATTCTGAAATGGTCACTTAGACCCTCCTACTAAATTAAGTGTCAACGAAACACACCTACTATTAGAAAAGGCTCATATAGGTCCAAATTACCGAAATCCGACCTCAACCAGCCGGTGTGTGCTGACGTGGAGATTTTTTTTCTCCAAAGTCAAACGTTTTTATCCAGGTCATGTGGAGTTTTTTTTCCTTATGCAGACCTTTAATCCCGTCATATATATCATCGTTCATCCTCCCCAGTCTTCTCTGTGCAGAACAACGTAAAGGTTAGGGTTTTCAAAGAACATTTCGTTCGTCATCGACTATTCAAATTGTTTGAAATCTCAAATGTCTTCGGCGTCAATCCGAGCTTTCTTCTTGATTCTTTCAAAATTGAGGTTCATACTAATACTGCTTGGTTCTGAAATCTGAATCCGAAGAGATATAACGATTTAATCTTTGATTTTGTTAGGGGTGTCTGTTAATAAAATTATGTGGCTTAGTTTTTTTTATCACCCCTAAATTATTTGTAATTACTTGAGTTGGGTGTCTGTTAATAAAATTATACAAATTATTGATTTGGTAGTTTTTGCAAGTTGAATTGCTAGTAAAATTATATCCTGGAAATAAAAATAGTGTCTTTACATTAATTTCATTGTAAATAGATGCCGGAAGGAGGGTGTGGATTCTTCATCTGGAAAGAAGATAATACAATTGAAGAAGGTGAAATTCCTACCCTATGCATGAAGCAGATGACAAAACAGATTTCTGAGTTGAGTGAAAAAGTCATACATGTGCGGGCTGAAGTTGCTGAATTAAAAGTTGTTGGTGAAGCTGGAGTAGAGGAAATTAAGAAACTTAAGTGAATGCTAATAGCAATTGTACTAGCAATGTGTATGTTTACTGCTCTACAAGGAAGGAACTAAGAAAACACATGAAGTGTTTTGAGTGTTTTGTTTGTATTCTTAGTGTAGCATCACTTTTGTTGTATTAAGAAGTATTTTATCATGTAATGGCTGATTCCAGATAGTTTAAGATATACCTAAATCTATGGTTTGTAACTTCATCTCGTAGCAACTTGGTTTATTGCCAATACAGTAGGTTAACTATTTGGAATGTTGCAGCAGGTTAATATTTATTGCACCAGGTTAATTTATCAATGAGTTCTGATTAACATATGAACACATATGTGTTGCAGGGGGCTGTTTTTTTAATAGTAGCAGGCTTTTTTGAGCAAGTAAAATCCCTTGTATAAATCAGTAAGAATGAGTATAATTCAGTATGAAATGAGATCAAACTAACACCAATTCCATACTGTTTTCGTTTAAGACCAAACTTACACCAATCCTGATACAAAGAGGTCCTTCTGGTGGCATAAAAAGATCATTTTCTTCAAATAGAGTGTTTGTAAGTGAGGAGTTTGACTGAGGGTTCTGAAAAATGCTTTCCAATGAGGGTTGAAGTCAAAGTGAATGATAGCCATGTAATTGCATGAAACAATAATACTAACCACCAATGCATAGGAAACGGATTATTGATGCGGGAGGAATGATGGGTATCAAAGACCAACTTAGTAATACATGACTTCCCTCTAATCTGCTATTGTTACTGAAAGAAGAAAATGGCAAGAATTTTTTCTGCCTAGATCTCCACCATTAATTAAACTAGAACTCTTAGTTTAAAGTGGAAATCTTTGACCAGTGACCATGCAGATCAAGACCTGCTCAAATTCAGCAAGCCTCGATAAGCGTAGACAGAAGACATCATGAAACTTCATCATTCATATATACAAAAAGAGGTGATACTTGATAGTACAAGGAAAAAATAGAGAAAATAACATAATCATTGTACAAAAACTCATACCCAAAAGTAACGAGTATCCTTACAAAAACCACCACATTCAGATAAATGTACAAAAACGCTAAAGTGCTTACAAAACACATCGTAAAGCCAGAATGTCATATTGCTTATATATAGGCTATTTTTAGCAAAACATATTACAAAAAGGCATAAACAAGTTATTACATATAACTCCAGCCTATCCATATTTGCCAAACTACAAAGACATAGGGGTTACATCCCTTTAACAAACCCTTAAACTACATCAACTGGTTCACTAAGCATTTGACAAGGGTCCTTGTTAATTTTCTCCTTCATTTTGTCCTCTGTCGGCAATCTGCCTTTTTTTGGCAGGCCTCCTTGTTCCTTTTTTGGCAATCTATTGGATCTCCATTGTTGTCATCATGTAATTCATCTTCATCCTCATTAGAAGCATGTTTATCCCCAGATGCTAAGTGCTCTTGATTTTCTTATCCATCGTCATGCACTTCTGCCTCCACTTCTGATTGCACTTCCATTGTTGAGTTCAGAGGCATTAGAGGGATGAGATCAGGCTCATCAATTCCATGCTCAACAAATATATCAACTGTACCCCAATTCATTGTCATCTCTATCAGCTCCAAGGTGGATGCGTCATTCCATAATGGTTTTAACATTGTCAAGTTCTCATCAGGTAATTTAAAAGATAAAGATTCCACTTTCTTATAATTATCCTCTGTGATGAACTTCATGAGGTGAGGATATGAAATTTTATCTGGGTCGAGTGTAACAGTGCCCACCTCACCTCCCACACATGGAAGTTCTGGTGTTTTTCTGAAAATTCCGCCATGATGTATTCTTAATTCTGCTATCTGAAACATTCTGGAAAACACAAAATATAAATCCACTCAGTTCACCATCAATAATAAATACTTTACATATGTTCCATTTTCAAGTGATCTCCACATATGTATCATTTTCAACTAATAGTAATTATAATTAAACCAGTACAAAAATTGATGCATTTGATTATTGAATATGTACAGGGACAAAGAAACAAGAGAAGTAAACAATTCACACATGCCAAAAGTAAATACATTTAACAAACTCAACATTTTGAAATTCACGAAATTATAAATTAAAACATGTAGCTTCTCAGTATATGGTCAGACCATTGAAATCTTTTAAACACATTGATAAACCAGATACAAAATTACAAGTCACTTACTTTTTTGTCAGTCGAAATCCCTAAATCGTCAATTGCTTACTTTTCACTCGTATTACTTTTTGGAGAAGATGACCAGACGCTCATGTATGTTGAAATCCGTACAGGGTCAGTTGTACATCCTTGCAAAACGATTCTTTAGTTTCTTCGCTACCATGGATGAATTCCACGAGAACAATAACATGTGTGCAAAACCCCAGCCTCTGGAAACGACCGATCTTCTACAGTTTGTTTTTGTTTTTTTCATAAACCTCTGAAACAGGGATGAGGTGGATTAAAATGTTCGGGTTTGGCAAAAAACCTCCACGTCAGCACACACCGGCTAGTTAAGGTCGGATTTCGGTAATTTGGACCTATATGAGCGTTTTCTAATAGTAGGTGTGTTTCGTTGGCACTTAATTTAGTAGGCGGGTTTAAGTGACCGTTTCAGAGTAGTAGGAGGGTCTATTTGGCCCTTTTCTCTTATTCCAATCACTTTATCGTGCGTTACCCTATTTTTTTGGCTGAACTGTAAGTATATATTAGAAACCAAAGAGTTTAAACTCTACATCAGAAAAAAAGGTGAGCAAAAATGTAGGCTATCCAAAGGATGAATAACCCATCACCTGCAAAATAAAGAGCTCTGGTAGCAATCTTTCTGCCTCTCGGCCAA